TGGGTCTGGGATTCAGACTGCTTTCGGCAGTGTGGGAGTTCAGCTATGCCATCTGCTGGCTCCTATACAGAGTATTTTTATTTTGTGGCTTTATTTCTTTATCCATTTAGTAGGGATTGATTGGCATTTTTTACTTAATTAATAGGAAAGTTTGTATTTTAGTGCTTAGTTCTAAACCAAGTAAATATATAAAAACCCCGTAGTAACTTCTGTTGCTTGTGTCAGAAAGTAACACTCTTTTCAATGACTTTGTTGCTTTAAAGTTTTAATTCAAAAATTAAAAATAATTTGCCAGAGGGGGTATGTATGCACTTGCCAGAGGGAGACAGAGGGAGAGGGAGAAAGCACCCGTCCCCCTACTGGACTTGTTCATGCCACAATCCCTTCTCCTCCATTTCTCTTTCCTTTTGGGATTTGGGGTCTGTGCACCCACATGCCCGGTGTGTTTTTCAAGTCACTGGGTCTAGGACTCGAACCTTGTGTTTAGCCATTTGGGACCTAGCTCACATAACCACTAGGTCACAGAGCCAGTAATACTGTTCTCTAAGTGTTTTGTCACTGCTTTGCTTTGATGGTTAATAACTTGAAGCAGAATTTAAAATATTCTGGAGATATCTTCTTCATACATTCCGAACCCTTAGAATAGTGCTTGGTGCACAATAAATGTTTGTTGAATGAAATAACAAAATATTGCATGTAAATAGTAATTAATGTTGAAGTAGCTAAGATACAAGGGAAGTAAAAGAGTCGATATGCCATAACATTTAACACCAGAGTCATTTATGTTAATTTTGAAATCTAGGAGATTTTTAGTTATACTGTAAGTATAAATAATACTGTACCTATCTAGAAAGGTATATTTGTTTGGATAGCTAATTGACATTCACCTTTCTCAAAATGTCCAAATTTTTACCCTGTAATCATATTTTATTATTTCAAACTATACTAATAAATAAAGTTATTTCAGTATTCAGTAGTGTTATGAAGTGCAGTAGCAAGAAAAGTTGTTGAATGACCAAAGATGGAGAACTATAGGCCTCTTTTATCGGACCTCCCCCATATGGTCTAGGAGTTACAGATTAAACAGATAGCCTCATTATATCAGTTTTAAGATTTCCCAAGGAATGAACCCCAGGTGGGTAAGCAGGTAAGAGCCTGGTGTTGTTTAATAGAGGAACAAACAGTGCTGCTTGGGAAGTGAGTTTAAAATTTCATGTAGGTTTTTTCTAACCAGAGACCCTAGAGGGTAGTATGCTATGGCTAAAGGACTGTAAAATATTTCAGAAACCTTTGGTCTTATTCCAAACCCTGGTATTTACCCAGCCGTCTCTATCTCACGTGTAGGAACCTAGTATAGTTTACTTTGTAATAGTTTTAAGTATTTATGGATTGCCTATAATTTGCAAGATACTGTCCTAAGTGCTAGAACCATACTAGGAAACAAAATATACATAATTTCTGTTCTCACAGAACTTGAATTTTAATTGGGGGAGGTAGCAAATAACAAGTATATACTGTGTCAGGTAGTAGTAAAATGAGCTTGTTCAGACATCTTGCTGCATAACAACGATTTTTGTTTGTTTCCCACAGTAGTGTGGGTTGAAAAGGGCTTACCTGGCTGGTTCACATGTTGATCTCAGTTGGGTTATCTCACTGATGGCTGGACCTGGAACCCCTACAGTGTCTCACTCGTCTGGCTGTCTGTAGTCCTGGTGGTTGTTTGGGTGTTCATTCGTCACTTCTGTCCTTTTCTGCTTGACCTGTCCCTGTGAACTGGGCCTTTCACAGCACAGTGGCTGGGTTTCAAGAGGGAAGAGAATAAGCATGTAAAGGCAGAAGCTGCAGATTTGTTGAAATCCCAGCCTCGCGAGTTGTAGAGCATCATTTCCACCACATTTTGTTAGTCAAAATAATTCACAGGGTGGAGGTTAAGGTGACCAGATTCTGTGGTTCAAGTTCTGGACGCAGTGGCTTGAAATTATGCCCGGTGCATGTGCATGCATGCCCAAAATCCAGAAAGGAAATGGAAGAGAAGGGATTGCAGTGGAGCCATCCCCTCCCTCCCTTACCCCAGAGAAGGATTTACTACTTTCCCTTTCTTGCTCTCCTTTTCTCTCTGTCTCTCTCTGGCAAATGCATACATCGTATAGCAAAAACTAAAAATAAGTAAATAAATAAAAATATTTTTAAAAAGTTCACAGGGAAGGAGAAGCAGATTTTACCTTTTTTGGTCACAATGAAAAACAGCGTTTAAGTTCAGAGATAACAATTTGGCCATCTCTGGAAATATTATCATAGTGCTATGAAAAAAAATAAACAGGTTAGTGAAACTGAGGCTGGGCAATGAAGCATGGGGCAAAAGGTACAATATTTTGTTGAGGCTTCTCTTTTTTTTTTTTTTTTTTTTTGTTGTTTTTACCCTAACCAGAGACCCTAGAGGGTAGTATGCTATGGCTAAAGGACTGTAAAATATTTCAGAAACCTTTGGTCTTATTCCAAACCCTGGTATTTACCCAGCCGTCTCTATCTCACGTGTAGGAACCTAGTATAGTTTACTTTGTAATAGTTTTAAGTATTTATGGATTGCCTATAATTTGCAAGATACTGTCCTAAGTGCTAGAACCATACTAGGAAACAAAATATACATAATTTCTGTTCTCACAGAACTTGAATTTTAATTGGGGGAGGTAGCAAATAACAAGTATATACTGTGTCAGGTAGTAGTAAAATGAGCTTGTTCAGACATCTTGCTGCATAACAACGATTTTTGTTTGTTTCCCACAGTAGTGTGGGTTGAAAAGGGCTTACCTGGCTGGTTCACATGTTGATCTCAGTTGGGTTATCTCACTGATGGCTGGACCTGGAACCCCTACAGTGTCTCACTCGTCTGGCTGTCTGTAGTCCTGGTGGTTGTTTGGGTGTTCATTCGTCACTTCTGTCCTTTTCTGCTTGACCTGTCCCTGTGAACTGGGCCTTTCACAGCACAGTGGCTGGGTTTCAAGAGGGAAGAGAATAAGCATGTAAAGGCAGAAGCTGCAGATTTGTTGAAATCCCAGCCTCGCGAGTTGTAGAGCATCATTTCCACCACATTTTGTTAGTCAAAATAATTCACAGGGTGGAGGTTAAGGTGACCAGATTCTGTGGTTCAAGTTCTGGACGCAGTGGCTTGAAATTATGCCCGGTGCATGTGCATGCATGCCCAAAATCCAGAAAGGAAATGGAAGAGAAGGGATTGCAGTGGAGCCATCCCCTCCCTCCCTTACCCCAGAGAAGGATTTACTACTTTCCCTTTCTTGCTCTCCTTTTCTCTCTGTCTCTCTCTGGCAAATGCATACATCGTATAGCAAAAACTAAAAATAAGTAAATAAATAAAAATATTTTTAAAAAGTTCACAGGGAAGGAGAAGCAGATTTTACCTTTTTTGGTCACAATGAAAAACAGCGTTTAAGTTCACAGATAACAATTTGGCCATCTCTGGAAATATTATCATAGTGCTATGAAAAAAAATAAACAGGTTAGTGAAACTGAGGCTGGGCAATGAAGCATGGGGCAAAAGGTACAATATTTTGTTGAGGCTTCTCTTTTTTTTTTTTTTTTTTTTTGT